TTATTTATTATTATTATTTTTTTTTGGGGGGGGGGGGGGGGGGGGAGCTTTGTAATTATGTTTCGGAAGTTATCATGGTAAAATTTGTTAGATTATGAGATTTGACTCATTTTTTAATAGGGGAACTTCAAATGGGAGTGAATTTATGCGTAAACAGGAACTTATTGATGCTGCTGAAGCTAGTGGGCTATCTCGAGTGCCAATTGCGTATGTTTAATTATTTACTGTTTCTGTTCTGTGTTTAAGTAGACAAGTGTCTATGAAAATGTATACAACTTTTGACCAATTGCATTTTTGCGTATTCAGGCCAGAAAAAGGGAAAGGAAAACCCGGACATTTTGGAAGTTCTCCACAGGATTGGTATAGTGGATGGAATTGCATGAAGACCTTAATTGCTAAAGGATTGGTTGTAAAATCAAGTTGCCCTGCTAAGTATGATTTTCATTGTGTGCATGAATTTTTTCACAATGTACTGCTAGTTTTTGTATATCAACCTTTCTTTTAATCTTTTATATAATCTTTCACATATTAAAATCCACAAGTAGGGAAACCTTCTTATTGTGAATCCATAACTAATATCTTGAATTGTTTATTTAGAGTTAGGCTTATAATGTGCTTCAACAATCAAGCCATGTATATAGTAACATGAAATCCTTTAGGTATTATTTTTGTGATTCATTACCAGTGAACATTGTGGTTGTGATTTGTTTAAGTGTGCCTTCTATAGATGAATCTAGCAATGTTAATGTTCATCTAAAATTTAATTTACTAGACTTGTAAAACAGCAATTGTTAGGGTGGTTCTTGTTAAACACCTTTAAATACTGATATATGGTTTTTAAATGAAACATGGAATTTGTTATGTTCAAATGAAAATTCTCCATATTTGTATATATTAGTTATATTTTGTGTTCAGGTACATGCTAACTCAAGAAGGTAAGGAAGCTGCATGTGACTGTCTTGCAAGATCTGGAATGGCAGAATCTCTAGAGAAGTTGGCTTCTGTTGAAATTCCTTCTTATACGGATAACCAAAACTCATTGGATGTGGAACTCAATGGTCATGACTTGGAAGCAGAGATGTTGTCACCATTGACCGAGCAAAAGAAGCCGATGGATGTTCCTCTTGATTGCCTTGAGAGGGTATTTTTCCTCTTATTTAAAGTCCTTCTTACTTTTTGTTTTTGTATATTCATATTCTCAAAATTATGTGCTCTATTTGTTCATAAAATCTAAAACACTAACCCTTATTTATACTAATCTTAATACTAACTAACTAGCGAAAAAGAGGCACTTTGTGCCTCTGTGTATTTTGTTTAAAAATAAAAAAAATTAGAGATACTATATCTCAACTTCTTTAGAGGTGACAAGGTGGTTACGAAAAGTGAGATTAAACTGAATTACATTTTGTGCCCACTTTTCATGTCTATTACAAATTCTTATTTTGCAGTTTACTCGAATGGGTTACTCCAAGGAACACATTATTAATGCCTTCACTGAAGTTTCCAGAAGTCATCCAAATAAAGATGTTTCATCTTTGTGGCCGGCTGTTTTATGTCATCTTCGAGAGGAACAAGTCTATGGTTCACGGCCAGAATCTCAAAGTATTTTAAATAATTGTTGACTAGTGCAAATACTGCCACAAACAGTATTTCTTTGATCTCTATTAATCATTTCATAAATGACCAGGGTCTACAGACCTCATTGGAAAAGAGACCAGAACTTTGACCTCATCTTGCGGTGGGCATGTGCCAAACTTTTGCTCTAGTGATATTCCTTCATTTCCCTTGAGAGCTTGCTCAACAGCTGTATGGTTTGATCCATTTGCTTAAATTTTGTGCACTCTTTCTAATGTAGTAATAGATTCTTAATATGATAGTGGAAATATAATGAGTACTACTTCCTCAGTATGATTAGAATTTTTTTGCAATTACAAATTTTGTTGGTTTTCAACACTTATTTTGAATTTTCAAAAGGGTTAACCACTAATGAGTACCATTCTTGTTCATATTTAATTTTTATGTTATGAAATACTATAGTCTATACAAGTTACATGTTGCATACTTGTATTAACATCGATTGCATTATTTTTTGTATGTTTTGTTGAGTTTTGCAATTACATGTGCATGTCATAAGAGTAAGATGATAATGCTTATTGCCCTAATTTATACTGACCACCCTGATTTATCAAATTAAGTGCTTTAGATTAGACCCTAGTTGAACACAAGTGCACAACTCAGTTCAATTTTCTTGATTGCTCTGTTACATCCAATTTAGATGTTGAAATTGATAGAATAAAATGCAGATTCAATTTTGATATTATAAGACAATTGTCCTCTTATTCATATCTTTTTGTCATCCAATTTTGTCTATTTATTTCTCAAAAAAATTTTCAGGGACATCATGATCTACAACTGCACATGCTGGCTGTTACCAACACGAATTGTACCACATTCCTGTACTAGCCTTGGACTCGTGTTCAAATCTCTTCAATTGCAAAGCTTTTACCCCTTGCTCACAGTTCAAAACCTGTGCTTTTCTCGTGCTTCCATGTTCTAGTTTTAAACTTCTGTAGCAATCTTCATAAATCTCCCTCTAACAAAAAATCCCCGGTCAACTGAGAATTTTCTAGTCAATCCCCCCATCCACCCCTATACATATTTTCTCTTAGGTCAAAAACTTTCTTTGTTGTCTTCACAGCCATTCTCCTTGTACTCTCCTAAAATCTTCCCTCTCCAAAACAAAAAAGAAACAAATTGTTTTCACCTCCAAAATTTCCCAACATAGCCAGGTTGAAATATATAGGGAAGTTCTCATGTTTTCTGTTGAACCAGATAAATCATTTGTGCTTCTGCATCTCTTCCTTCTTTGGCTGAGCTTGACACTCTCCTGGCCATTAAAGACTGATACCTAGATAGTTTTGTGTCAACCTTGTGGATTTCCTTCTCAGACCCATGTAATGGCACTTTTGAATCCATTATAAGGTTGTGTTATATTCAATATTGCATGACCATGAGCATTCTAAGCCTCTAAATTTTACATTTTGAGCCATAAATAAAAAATGAAATGTAAATCTTAATGAAAATAAGGTATGCATAAGAGGATGATTTTGTCTTTAAGTACCATATGCTCATGCCCACAGCATGTGCATTTTATTATGTCAGTGTAAACAGTTAAATTAGATGGAACAGAGATGGGAGTTGTATTAAAATTAGGGTGTAATGTGCTTAATTTGCTAATTAGGGTGAAAAGTGCAAATTAAATAATAAATACATGGGTAAAATGCATTTTACTGTAACTTTGTTTTCTATATTTCATTGTATTTATCTAAATTTTGGCTTATGCATTGCTGCGAAGTTTATAATTTTTGAAATGAATTTTGATATTCGTACTTGTACTTGATGAACTTCTTAGGACCAACCCATGCAAAATCCTAACAAGGATGAACTTCTATCAAAGATGAATATTTTAAATGTGCCACCATTGAGCTTGGGTGAGAGATTTGAGGATGCTTATGACATAATTTTAATATTGGATGATCGAGAGCAATTTGCCACACAAGGGTTAGTAGTGAATTCAACATCACTATTTTCACTCAGGATATGAGGTCTGTTTAAAATAAAATAAAAGAAGTGATTTTTTTTAAGGAGACAGAGGTTACTTATTAAAAAAAAAAACACAGAAAACTTCTCTCAAAAAAAGAAACAGAAATCTGTTTTTTCCCTTAAAAGGCAGTTTAGAGTTAGACAAACAGATAAGAAAAGTAGAGAACTTCAAAATAAAAGTTTTTTTAAGCTTAAACAAACAGGCCCATTGTATGATTTGTATCATAGGCTACTATTTTTATCAATAATTAATTATTTGTCTTAATTTATAGTTTATTTGTATTTACAACACTCTAGTGTATTGTCTGGCTTCTTGCTAATAATTCCAATTGATTTTATATTCATTGTTTCAGATCAAGATCCAGGAAAATTATTGAGAATATCCGCAGCCAATTCAAAATCCAAATAGAGGTGAGTTTGATATTTCTTAATTATCTTGAGGTAGTTCCAAACTTCCCATTGCTTCCCAAAACTTGTGCACGTATTGTTTACTGTATGCTGATGCTAATGTTTATCATGGAAATTGACATTGACCTTTGTGATAAGTTGGGGAGATACCAATATCATGCATAGGTCTTGCATACATAAGTATATTTATTATTTTTTTAAGATGGACATTAACTCAACTTTGGAGTCAAAGATGCTCATATAGTTAGTGGGGACTGGGGACCTCTTGGTATGGTGATATGGGACAGAACTGTTGTTGTTTTGTGCTGGCCTTTCCAAGTGATATGTCTCTTTATATTATCCACTACTAGGTTTTCAGTTTATGTGGGAATAGAATAATAGGAAACAAAACTAAAGATAGATAAAGAAATGAGAAAAGGAAAGGTTTCCTATTCAGATGAAAAGGAAGGGAACACGAGTAAGAGTCCTCATTAGAAAGGGTAAGTACCCTGATAGTGATAGGTTTTATTCATGTATTGAGTATTTTATTTTTTTATTTTTTATTTTTATTTTTATTTTTGAGCACTTATACGAATAAAGTATTAATTACTTAATTACACTAATAGGTTTCATGAAATTCCACATAAACCCCATATTTTTTTAATGGTTACAGCAATCTCCCTTATAAGGGTACACAGTAGAATGTTTTTCAAACAATTAAAGTTGGTAATGTTTTTTAAACAATTAAGGAGTTAACATAATATCTAAAGGGTATCAATGTAACATTTTTCAAACCATTAAAGGAGTTAGTGTAGCATGATTGATAACTAAACCCAATCTCATTGCTGAATATTGGTGTAGAAATATTTGTTTCTTTATTTTATTCTAATAATAACAGCTGAGTAATACAACTTAAATAGGGAAAACAAAGGGAGACAAATCCCTTAAACAAAGGGAATTAGAATCCCATAAAACATTCAAAATAATAAAAAAAAGGTGAATCCATAATTTAGGATTTTATATGCCTGATTTATTTAGAGTAATAAAATCCAAATATTCCTAATTTATTTCCCTAAATTATTCAGAATAATAAAATCTGAACATTCGTAATTTATCCACACCCCCCCTCAAGTTGGTGCAAAGATATTATCATTCTCAACATGGTAACTTGATGTTCAAGAAATGGAATGCATATTACTCCTTCTTCAAGCTTCTCCTTGATAAAATGTTTGTCAATCTCAACATGTTTTGTTCGCTCATGTAAGACTGGATTATGAGCTATGTTTATTGTAGCCTTGTTATCACAAGACAATTGAATAGGAAAAAGTTAGTGATTTTCCAAGGTCTTCTACTACCTTTTTCAGCCAAAGAACCTCACATATCCCTTGAGCCATTGATCTGAACTCAGGTTCAACACTGCTCCTAGCAACAACGTTTTGTTTTTTACTCCTCCAGGTGACAAGATTACCCCATAGGAAGGTGCAATATCTTGATGTTGACCTTCTATCTGTAACAAATCCAACCCAGTTAGCACTAGTATATACCTCAATTCCTCTTCTTTCATATTTTTGGAAGAACAGGCCTTTTCCCGGGGTGCCCTTTAATTATTGAAGAATTCTATAAATAGCCTCAAGATGTTCTTCATATGGAGAATGCATAAATTAGCTCACCATGCTTACAACAAAAGCAATGTCAGGACGAGTATGTGACAGATAAATAAGTTTCCCCACTAACCTTTGGTACCTGCCCGAGTCTACTGGAACACCATCTTGGACATCTCCAAGCTCGGCTTTGACTTCTATTGGTGGGTCTGAGGGTTTGCAACCACTCATTCCTGTTTCTTTCAAGAGATCTAAGATGTACTTTCGTTGTGAGACTACAATTCCCTTTTTTGACCTTGCTACCTCCATTCCGAGAAAATATCGAAGTTGACCAAGATCTTTAACTTCAAATTCCTTGGCTAAACTTTGCTTCAATATGCTCATTTCTATTGCATCGTCACCTGTCAATATTATGTCATCTACATAGACAATTAATATTGAGACTTTGCCTTCAGTGGACCTTTTTGTAAACAACATATGATATGATTGGCCTTGACTATATCCCAGATCCTTTACAAACCTTGTGAAACTTTCAAACCAGGCTCTAGGGGAATGTTTTAGACCATATGATGATTTCTTCAACCTGCATACCTGTTCCCCAAATGTCTTAGCAAACCCAAGTGGAGGTTCCATGTAGACTTCTTCCTCCAAGTCTCCATTCAAGAATGCATTTTTTACATCTAGTTGAGTTAATGGCCAGTCAAGGTTGGTTGCTCCTGGAAGGAGAACTTGAACTGTGTTTAGCTTCGCCTTTGGTGAAAAAGTTTCAGAGTAATCCACTCCATATGTTTGTGTGAAGCCTTTAGCTACAAGGCGAGCTTTGTATCTTTCCAAGGAACCATTCGAGTTATATTTCAAATTGAACACCCACTTACAACCAACTATTATTTTCCCATTTGGTAGATCCACTTTCTCCCAAGTAGCATCCTTCTCAAGGGCTCTCATCTCCTCAAAAACAGCTTCCATCCATTGAGGAACATTTAGAGCCTCTTGAACACTGTTAGGAATTGTGACACTAGATATTTGTGAGATAAAAGCACAATGAGGGTGAAATATTTTTGTAAGACACATAATTTGACAAGGGGTGTTTTGTGCATGATCTAACACCTTTCCTAAGAGCAATTGGAAGATCATCATGAATAAGAGTATTTGTTTGAGAATTACCTGAGGAATCATTGTTAGGTTCTTTCGGAGAATTATCATGAATTTCATGATTCATCCTTTGATTAGATTCTTGGAGGTTCTGTTGGACGATGTCTCTCTTCCTTTTTTCTGCCTAGTGTTCTTTTGTATACACTAGACCTTTGTGCCATTTCACACACTTCTCTGTTGGGTCAATAGGATCATTTTGAGATGGCATTACCATGGTTTGCATATTGGCAGAATCAATAGGATTATTTAATTCATTTGTTTTTGCAAAGTTTTCATTTTTTGCCTCATCATTTTGCAAAGAAATGTCAGGAAATTCAAAGCATAAATCAGATGTGTCTAAAAAACCATCTTCATTGTTGTGCTCCCCCTGAAGATGAGACCCATTATAATATGAAGTTCCTTTAAAAAATGACATCCATAGACACAATATTTTTTTAAAACTGGATCAAAACATTTATATCCTTTTTGGTTAGAGGGATAACCAGCAAAAATGCACTATGTGCTTTGGGGTCAAGTTTTGAATGCTTGGGATCATGATTATGAACAAAAGCTACACTTCCAAAATTTTTTAAGGATATGTCTGTTTAAGACATGAATTTGGAAAACAATTAGTGAAAATTTGCAAGGGAGTTTTAAAATTCAAAATTTTGCTAGGCAATCGATTTATCAAATAGGTAGCAGTTAAAATAGCATCTCTCCAAAGGTACTTGGGGAAATTTGTTTGAAAACTTAGAGCCCGAGCAACTTCTAGGAGATGTTTGTTTTTCCTTTCAGCAATCTCATTTTGTTGAGGAGTGTTTGTGTAAGAACTTTGGTGCACAATGCCCTTTGCAGTGAAAAAATTGCCCAAAATTTTGTTAAAAAATTCCTTGCCATTATCACTATGAAATTTTTTTGAGTTTGAAATTGTGTTAGGATCATATGATAAATTTTTTTAAACACAAGTGTAACATCAGATTTTTCTTGTAAAAGAAATACCCAAGTGACCCTAGTGTGGTCATCAATAAAAGTAATGAACCAGCATTTTCCAGACATAGTTGTTATCCTAGAGGGACCCCAAATGTCACTATGAATCATTGTAAAAGGTTCGGAAGTTTTGTATGGTTGGGGAGGAAAAATAGCACGATGATGTTTTGCCAATTCACATGATTCACATTTGAAGGACAATTGATTTTTATTCATGAATAACATCGGAAACAAATATCTTAAATATTGGACATTAGGATGTCCTAACCGATAATGCCATAACAAAATATCTTTATCAAAAACAGTGATAGAATTGAAACAGGTTTGTTGTTCTGGCCTTCCAGAAAAAAGGCAATTATTGAGGAGATAGAGACCATTGACTTGCCTAGCACCCCTAATTATCTTCCCCGAGGATAAATCCTGAAATTCACAATGAGAAGACCAAATATTAATTCGACAATTGTGATCAAGGGTTAATTTACTAGCAAACACAAGATTATATGACAAATTATGAACATGTAGGACATTTTTTAGGGTCAATGAGGGAGAAAAGGTTACACTTCCTTTACTAGCTACGGTAGCTAAGGAACTATCTGCAAGTTTAATCTTTTGATTCCCTGCACAGGGTGTATAAGAGGAGAAATATAGGGACATGCAAGTCATATGATCAGTGGCACTCGAATCTAGTATCCAAGGGCCATTAGAACCTGTATTGTATTAACAGGGCTGCATAATTTGCTGCACTATGAAAATGGCTATTATATCAATATTCATCCGAGTGTAGAAAGCTCAACCCAGGCCTATGTTAGTTTCTGTACTGTATTGTTTTTCAAATATTCAGTATTTTAATTTTATTACCGTATCATTTGGTGTTCTTTCATTAAGTCAAAATAAACCAATTGTAACTGATGTATTAAACTCCTAATAAAAACCCTTCTAAGTTCTAACTTATAACATATGAACCACCTATGATTACCGTTTATTCGTCCTTGAATAAACTCTCCAAACCTAAATTCTCATTAATTATTGGGAAGGGGTCATGCTTAACATTGCCAGCCAGTATTTCTTTTCATTATGTATTTCTTTATCTATGGTATATTATTACATGCTTCAAAAAAGAAACAGCCAGGAAGTTGTAACAAAACTATTCTTCAATTTGAGCACATTATCTCTGTTTTTATTTTCAGTTAAAGTTTTTTTGGATAACATAAATTATTGTGAAACATATTAGATGTGATATTATCTTACTGGGGCAGGTTTAGATGAAACATGCATTTAAAAATTTTATCTGTGCTCCTGTATTTAGAAGATGGTAAAAATCCTCTAGAAATTGGTTCATATATAGGTTCGACGATTGCCAGTTGGAGATGGGATTTGGATAGCGCGCCATAAAGCTTTTGACAGTGAATATGTATTGGATTTTATTGTTGAGAGGAAAAAAATTGATGATCTGCGCAGTTCAATCCGGGATAACCGCTATAAGGATCAAAAATTAAGACTTCAGGTAATTATTCCTCCTTAAATATTTAGAATTGTTTCTTGACACTCCAAAATTTTGAACATGTGATGGCAAGCATATGCATATATGGTCACAGATTAATGGTTCTATTGCTTTATTTTCCTATTTTAAAGAAAATAACAAAAATCGAGTCAGTTACCATGTATTTGTAGATGAGTTTCATGAGCGAGTAAGAGTGCTCCAACTATGGTTAACAATAAACTCATAATCACAAGGTAAACCTTGGAGAAGAACATCGAGATGTTCGTGTGACAAAACCAGATCTCCAATAGAGGAAAGCGACATGACTAAGGCTTTTGCGCGAGCAAGAAAGTTAACCATAGTTTTTCCTTCTAGTGTGGTGTTACATAACTTAGTTCGCAATTGGTTAACACGAGCCTGCATGTGAGAGTTGAAATGCTCATGGAGTTTGTTTCATAGTCCCCATGCATGAACACAACCAATGATCTGTGTGAAAATACTGCATGTCAAGATCGCTTGGAGCCATGAGAGGAGTAGCTAATCTTGCTGCTCCCAAGATTGATAAGCCGGATTGACAGATCCAGTGGATTGATGCTCTTCGGAGAGAAATCTTAGTAAAATTGTAGGATTAACAAGAAAAGAATGTAGTTTGTGACCTTTGATTACAGGTTCAATTTGTTGACACCAAAGAAGAAAGTTATCCTCCATAAGTTTTTCTGTGATGGAGTGCGAGAATGTGAGTGGAGCAGACGGTGGAACAACCATGGAGTGAGGCGGGGATGGTGGTGGCATAGAAGAATTAGTCATTGTGAAGAGAAAGAAAAAGAGATAGAGGCTTAGGATTCTTTTGCTCTTGATACCATATTGACAGACAAGAGTTAAGAGAATGTATTTTTTGATATTATTGATTTTCTATGAATCTGTCAACATAATTGATTGAGAAATATTAGAGTCCTATTTATATTTATAGGATGAGTGTTGAGGAAGCTACCTCAAGAGTTCTTGGTTGTAACTGACCACTAGTCAGTTACAACAAAGTAAGAATTACAAATGAAATGGAAATACAATTGAAATGAAAAGCAAATGAAATAACATACGAAAATATGTAAAAACTAATAACAGAGAAATGATATTCTCTTACAAAATCTCATCACTGTTACTGAAACATTACAGCAGTAACAAATTCAGTTGAGTCGTATCATTTTCTTTTATAATTTTGTCATTTGATTTCAATGGCAAAAAATGTGACACATTATTGCTGTAAAGAAATTATAGTTTGATCTATGCTGCTTGAAATGTGTTAATACTATATCATTCAGCTATATAATTTAAAAGCATGCCATACTGACATAGCCTCCTCAATCCCCGCTTCTGAATCCAATTACACATTTAGAGGTGTGGGCTGAAGAAGCTGATATATCTTGTTGAAGGTGACCCAAATTCTTCTGAAGCTGCTGAAAGCATAAAAACTGCGTAAGTACTTTTTAAAAAAAAAAAAAATAAATTCATTGTGCTTTTTTTACTTTTGAGGGGCAAGGGGAGATAGAGAAAAAAACAGTCTCAGGCATATTTGCATCATTATAACTTCACTGTTATTACATTCATACCAAATGCCAAGGTTTAGTCTTTGATGATATTTTCTTTTCAGTTTTCATCATTTCGCATACTAATCTTCGAACTGGGAAACAAAGTGAAAACAGAATAACATTCTATTTCTAATTCTTCAAAAATAGAAAGTGGAACCAAATAGTTTTCCCAAACCGAATGCACCCAAGTACTGCTATATCTGGGTTGAAGGGGTTTCATTCACTGAAACTTTGTCGCTTTTTATCTTAAATAATCATAGTAGTAGTTGACTAGTTGTATACTGTTCTGAAAGCAAAATTTCTGACTTTTGGTTGGTGCATGTTAGTGAGCAACCATTTATTAATTTATCATTAACAACTTTGTTTATTTGGTGATGTGGTGGATAGAGTTATTATGTTTTGTTATGGTGCCATTTTCCATAAGGTTTCTGCAGATGTGAGATAAGGGTTACTGGCTTTGCTTGAATGAAGCTTACTCAAATTGTTTGCCTGTCTTTAAAAAGCTCAAAACATTCACAATTTCTGTTCTCGTCAAAATTAACCCCATTTTCAGACTTTCTTTCTAATCCCACCTTGTACAGTTGTTTTACAACAGAGATTCTGGAGGGATTTGATGTACAAAGAACAAGTGGCTTAGGTGATACCCTAAGGAAGTATGGTTATCTTACCCAAGCAATTTCTCAATATTACAAGTCAGAAATTTTTGAAGAGAGTGTAAAATGCTCTGGGATATGTCCTCCTTTTGATGAATTTATTAAAAGGTGTCAAGACCTTGAGAAAACGACAGTTAGTGATGTATTTGCCATCCAGCTTATGCAGGTACTAACAATTTAAAAATTAAATTTGAACTGTTTTTCTATTGATTGGTTTTCTGACTAATTTGAATCCATTGACCTTGACTTGCCTTTTTATTTACAGCTTAACTTTTTTAGTTACTTTTGGATTCATTAGTACTTGGATGAATTCTCATTCCTTTTTTGCTGGATCCTTAAATTTACTTCATCGCTTTGGTGAAATATGATTGGAACTGGCTGGATGACAGCGTTGTTTTGGTTTTGTGCAATTTCATTGAACATCACGTTTTTGTTCTTGAGCCTGTCTCGTGTAATGAACTGCAACATTTTGTAAAATTGGATGAGTAATTCTAATAGCCAACTTTTTCATCTGATAAATTATTGAATGTTTTTTATTTAATAATTTTGGAACATGCAAATGCAGGTCCCACAGGTTACGGAGGAGGTTGCCATGGCTGTGTTGGACATGTTCCCCACACTTTTCTCTCTTGCCCGTGCTTACTCACTACTCGTGAGTCCTCATTACTTTCACCTAGTATGAAGTCAATCGTTTAGGCATGACAATTGGATTAAGAATGGGTGGGTTGCTGTAAAATATTGTATGAGGGTTTGGATACACAATGGTCTATTCCCACATCATATGTTATGTTTTATAACTAGGATTTGAAAGATCTTTGGGTAGCTTTTGAATTGAACCAAAAATAGAATTTTTAATTGATTCTCTTTGTTTTGCTGATTTTTTTTATAGTTAATTTTTGTATATGAATAACATTCCTGTTTTACTGGTTTGTAAAGAATGGCACAAGGGGAGGGAATATTCCATTTAACTAAAAAGCAGGTAATGAATTTGATTCCAAGTATATAATATACCCATTCTCTACTGGATGAGAATTAAAGCTGCAATTTCCATAATTATGGATCTGGATTCGGGTATATTTCTTAAACGATGATATGAGTGATTGGAATATTGCTTTTGAAAATCTTGGGTATTTGAGAGCCAGTCTATTTCACGGGGCTTGTTCAGTTTTATTTTTTGGATGCTTGGTCACTAAGTTATGCTTTCTCCTTTTAACTTTACCCACACTAACTGTTTAATTGATTTGATTAGGATGGCGATACTTGTGCCCGGGAGGATATGCTTCAAAAGCAGAGTAACAATGTGATCAATGCAGTTGCCAGTAGGAACATTTTTCAGTTCGTTTGGGGCGGCTGACTTGCATTTTCACTAAAGCAATGGTGAATACCGTATTCTTTTTGTACATTTGTAACTTCTCATTATTGAATGTGATTGTAAAATTAATTACATTATAAATGAGGCTTAGTTTGGCCGTCTCAAATTTAGAAGAAATAATATTCTCTCTTATTGATTTATGAGGTTATTAAACCTCTATATATATACATGAATCTGCAGCCTATTTTAGGAAATATGGACAGTTAATTCTAAGGAGACAAATCCCTATGATTACGGGATTAATCTTGCATAAATAAATCTAATAATGGCAGCATAAGACTGTTACAGAAATACAGCATAGCAAATATAAAACTTCCTAAAATACACAACGCCAATCACGGTTTTGACACTCCCCCTCAAGCTGGTGAATAGGTGTTTTCCATTCCCAGCTTGGATATAATTCTTTCAAAGTGAGTGCAGTTCAGCCCCTTGGTGAGTATGTCTGCAAGTTGATTCTGAGTGGATACATATGGTGTGCAAATCATGCCACTGTCAAGTTTTTCCTTGATAAAGTGTCTGTCAACCTCGATATGTTTAGTTCTATCATGCTGCACCGGGTTGTGGGCTATGCTAATTGCAGATTTATTGTCACAATATAACCTCATAGGTTCATCCCACTTTATCTTCAAATCTTCCAATATAATCTTCAGCCATAGAAGTTCACATATTCCGTGGGCCATTGCTCGAAATTCTGCTTCAGCACTTGATCTAGCCACTACACTCTGTTTTTTACTCTTCCAAGTCACTAAGTTTCCACCAAGGAAGGTGCAGTATCCAGTAGTTGATCTCCTATCTACCACTGACCCTGCATAGTCCGCATCCGTATATGCTTCAAGACTTACACTCTTATTTCGTTTGAACAAAATCCCTCTTCCGGGGGTCCCTTTCAAGTACTGGACAATTCTAAGAGCAGCTTGTAAATGTGCTTCCTTTGGTTGATGCATAAACTGGCTGACTAGACTCACAACAAAAGCAATGTCTGGTCTAGTGTGAGATAAGTAAATAAGCCTGCCCACAAGTCTTTGATACATTTCCTTGTCCACGGCAATATCCTCCTCCATACTTCCCAACTTTATATTTGGGTCAACTGGAGTACTTGCTGGTCTGCAGCCTGTCTTCCCTGTTTCTTTAAGCAAGTCAGTAATATACTTTTGTTGAGATATGAAGATTCCTTTCTTGGAGTGAGCCACTTCAATTCCTAAAAAATATTTAAGCCTCCCTAGTGTCTTGATCTCAAATTCCGTGGCAAGGCATTCACTTAACAATTGTTGTTCCCTTTTGTCATCCCCACTTACTATAATATCATCTACATACACTAATAGAATTGTTACTCCCCCTGAAACTGAATGTTTGATAAATAATGTGTGATCTCCTTGGCTCTGTTTGTAGCCCAGACTTGTCATAACTTTGGTGAATCTTCCAAACCATGCTCTTGGGGATTGTTTCAGCCCATATAGAGCCTTTCTTAATTTGCAAACAGTTCCAGCAGCAACCTGTCCATTGTATCCAGGGGGCAACTCCATGTATATTTCTTCTTCAAGGTCTCCATGCAAAAATGCATTCTTCACATCAAACTGCTGCAGATCCCAATCATAACTTGCTGCTAATGACAATATTACTCTGACCGTGTTCATCTTAGCAACCGGGGCAAATGTCTCTAAGTAATCAACTCCATAGGTTTGAGTGAAGCCTTTGGCCACTAACCTTGCCTTGTAACGTTCGATGGTCCCATTAGCCCTGTACTTTACTGCATATACCCACTTACATCCTACTGGTTTTTTTCCAGGAGGTAGAGTGACAAGTTCCCAGGTCCTATTTTTGTTTAACGCCTCCATTTCCACATCCATGGCATGTTTCCATTTGCTGTCAGATAATGCTTCAGATACAGAGGAAGGTGTTTGTGTGGAGTTGAGATTAGTGAGAAAAGTTTTATGGGTAGGTGAGAATTTTTCAAAGGATAAGAAATTTGATAGTGGGTAAAGTGGTTGTTGGGTACATGTTCTAGTTCCCTTTCTAAGGGCAATGGGTAGATCAAGAGTTTGGTCCACCTGTGCTTCTAGATTTTCAGAAACAAACTCATTAGAATCATTGGAGTTTATAGGGTTCGAAGGTGTTACCTCATGCAATGATGGTGGGTTGGATTCTTGGACATTGCCAGATTCTAGAATGGCCTTTTCTCTCCTTGAATATACCAGATTTTTTCCAAATTTTCCGCCATTAGGTGCTGGAGGCGCTGGTTCAGGTGCAGGTTCTGTTCTTCCCTCAATTTCAGGGACAGCAATGCCATTAGTCCCAATTTCAGGTCCAAATGTCATATTTGGAAACATGAGAGTCTCATCTTCCTCTCTTACATTCTCCCCCTGAAGATGAGGCTGTTTGAAGTAGCTCTCTTGTTCGTTGAAGGTGACATCTCTTGACACATAGAATCTTTTTGAAATGGGGTGAAAACATTTGTATCCCTTTTGTGTGGTAGAGTACCCTAAGAAAACACATTTGACAGCCCTAGGGTCCAATTTTCCCCTTTCATTACTATGAACATGCACAAAGGATACACACCCAAATATTCTAGGTTGGAGTTTATTTGTAGGATGTAAGTGTGGGTAGAATGAGGATAGAACTTCCATGGGGCTTTTTAAGTTTAAGATTTTAGTGGGTAACCTATTGATTAGGTAGGTGGCAGTAAGGAGGGCTTCTCCCCAAAATCTCTTAGGAACATGGTTTTGAAAAAGTAGAGCTCTAGTTTGATCTAATAGGTGCCCATTCTTCCTTTCTGCAATCCCATTCTGTTGGGGTGTATTCACACATGAGGACTCATGGATTATCCCTTCTTTTTGGCAAAAAGAGTTTAGTACAAGATTAAAGTAGTCCTTGGCATTGTCAGACCTAATTCTTTTAATACCGACCCCAAATTGATTTTTAATCATTGAGATAAACTGAACAAACACGGAGCTAACTTCAGATTTTTGTTTCAATAAAAAAACCCAAGTCACCCGGGTACAATCATCAATGAAGGTTAAAAACCATTTAGCACCTGAGATATTAGGAACATGAGCAGGACCCCATACATCAGTGTGAACAAGAAAAAAAGGGAAAGAACTCATCTTATTGCTAATGGGAAAAGGTACACGCTTGTGTTTTGCAAACTCACACACCTCACAATGGAGACTCTCCACATTTAAATTTTTAAACAAAGAAGGGAAAAGCACTTTTATAACTCGAAATGAAGGATGTCCTAGCCGACAATGGTATAGTTGAGCTTTCTCTTTGTTGGTCATGGTGGATAGAGAGATGAGACTCTTGGTAGGCAGATTAGGGTCCTCCATGTAGTATAGGCCATTCCATTCTCTAGCATGTCCAATCGTCCTCCCCGAGTTCTTGTCCTGCAATATACAAGAGTTGCTATAAAAAACAACATTACATGAAAGATCTTTTGTGAGTTTTTGTATAGAAATCAGGTTGGTGGAGAGTTTAGGGACATGAAGGACATTTTTTAATGTCATGGATGGGCTTATTTGGACCTCTCCTTGTCCAGCTGCAGTTATAAGAGTTCCATCTGCTGTGGAAATTTTCTTGTTGCTAGGACATGGGGAATATGTGGAGAAGTATTTGGGTAGAGGGGTCATATGGTCGGTGGCTCCAGAGTCTAATATCCAGTAATGTGTAAATGGTGTATCTGAAACATTAAGCCCAAAAGAAAGTGGAAACTTACCAGAATATGTTAAGGAGCATGTACCTGTGGGCTTCTCCAATTTACTGAGGATGGATCTTACCCGTTCTATCTCTTCATGGTTCAGCTGGACAGATTCTTCACCTTGTCCATTAGCAATGTATGCTTGCCCTTGCCCTCCTTTTTTGGGAGGACCTCCTTTCGGCCCCCATTCTCGGCTTGAGGTTTTTCCATCTTTCAGCCCCCATTCTCGGCTTGGGGGCTTTCCATGTAATTTCCAGCACTTTTCCCTTGTGTGGCGCGGCTTGTTACAGTGGGTACACCAAACCTCCTCATGTTTTTTCTCCATACTGGGAACCCAGTTTTTCCTCTGGTTAGCAACCATGATTGTTCCTCCTTCAGCTATCATTGCCGAGCTTTCAGTGGTTGAGGTTTCCAGCATCAGCCCTCTCCTGCTTTCTTCACTTCGGATAATGGCTACCACTTCATTAAGCCCTGGGACTTTCTCTTTTCCCAGGATTTGGATTCGGACCTGGTCATATTCAGGATTTAGGCCTACCAAAAAATCATAGACCCTATCTTGTTCAATATATTCTTTTAGAATTGCTGAGTCTTCTGAACACTTTGCTTTTATAACTCGATAGTGATCCAATTCCATCCATAGAGACTTGAGTTGATTGGCATATTCTGTAACTGATCTATTTCCTTGTTTGGCAGCCACGGTTTTCACCTTTACATCATAAATTTGAGCAGCATCCTTGGCCTTAGAGTAAGTTTGTTCGACTGCCTCCCAGATTTCTTTTGCTGATTTAAGGAACATGCAGGTATCACTGATTTCTGGGACCATCGAATTCCACAGCCACGCCATGATCATGGAGTCTTCTTCATCCCATGATTTGAATTTGGGATCTGTTTCATCAGGTGCATTACCAGTCAGGTGACTGATCTTTCCTTTTCCTTTCAAGATGGTCCTAATGAGTTGAGACCATTTGAGGTAATTCTTCCCATTTAACCGATAAGCGGAATGAACATTCTGCAATTCTCCAGCAGTCTGGGGTCTGTCCCCAGTTTCCAGATTCACGACCTCAGCCATAACCAGGTATAATCAAGGTAGAGAGGGTTGCGCTGCAATGAAGGCTGCAACAAGGCTTAAAGGTAGCGCAACAATGAAGACTGCAACTTAGGTTAAAGATAGCGCAGCAATGAAGGCTGCGACTTAGGTTTAAAGGCACGGTCAGAGACTCCCAAGGATCGGGAGCTCTGATACCATCTCAAATTTAGAAGAAATAATATTCTCTCTTATTGATTTATGAGGTTATTAAACCTCTATATATATACATGAATCTGCAGCCTATTTTAGGAAATATGGACAGTTAATTCTAAGGAGACAAATCCCTATGATTACGGGATTAATCTTGCATAAATAAATCTAATAATGGCAGCATAAGATTGTTACAGAAATACAGCATAGCAAATATAAAACTTCCTAAAACACACAACGCCAATCACGGTTTTGACAGGCAGAATGTTGTATATTTTGTAAAGGAAAATTCTACATACACATACATAGGCCATAGTAGTTGATTTTTTTTTATTTTTATCATAGAACCATACGTCAATGGTAATATTATTTTAATTAAATGAGTAAGATTTACTCTAACACTCTTCTCATTTGCTACACATTCTTGTGATTTCATTTACCAACTGATCTGGGAAGCAAGGTTTAAATCTAAACTTCTCGAGATTAATATAACTGGTGCATTGCGAGTACATATCATTAAACATTTCTATAGACATGAGACTTGTCAGCCCAATAACAATCCTTATTGACAGTACATGATACTTGTCAGTTAGATAACTGAGTAATAAACTTTAACAAGTAACTAACCAACTATCTACAACATTAGCAACAATCATATATACAATAGAAAAGTGTAGAAAATAATAGAGTAAAATTCTATACTCTAATACTCCCAGCAAGCTCAGCAGGAGTAAGATGCTTGAGCAGCTATCACTATGAGCTTGACCTTAAATGTTGAAATCGATTGGGTGGGAGGGCCTTAGTTAGGATATCTGCATATGGATCAAATGCTGGAACACGAAGAATTTGAAGCTATTTATTCATTATCTTTTCTCTGACAAAAAATAGATCAAGCTCCATGTGTTTAGTGCGAGCATGGAGAGTAGGATTATGAGTGAGAGGGATCATGCTCAAGTTATCACATAGAACTTGAGGAATAGAATGAGAGTCACATAACTCTTGAAGAAGAGTTTGAATGTAGATAGCTTCAAAAGTGGTGAGAGCTAAGCTTTTGTATGCAGCTTCAGTTCTTGACCTGGTAATGACATTTTGCTTCTTTGACCACCAAGACACAAGGTTAGGCTCGAGAAATAGAGCTACACCTAAAGTGCACCTCCTATTATTTGGGTCAGGAGTCCAATCAACATCACATTCTTGAAGAATCAAAGGAGAGTTGTGCTTGAAGAAGCAAAGGAGAGTTGATAGGAGCAGGGTTGATATAGAGATCCTAGGAAATAGTCCCTTTTAGGTATTGTAGAATACGATTTACTACAAGCCAAGGTTGTTCGTGAGGCCGAGCCATAAACTAACAAACCTTGTTCACTGAATAACCTATTTCAGGTCTTGCAATTGAGGCATATTGCAAAGCACCAACAACTGATTTGTAATATGAGGAGTCATTAAAATAATTTGAACCAGTTTTTTGTACGTTTGTAGCCATAAACCATTGGAAAAGAAATAGGATTTGCTTTATTCATCTTGGTTCTATTACGAAGATCTCAAATGTATATGCTTTGAGGGAGAGTTAAAGAACTGTTTGAGTTATGTTTGACCTCAATTCCAAGGAAATTGTCCAAATTTCCAAGATCCTTAAGAGAAAGCATAATTGAGTTTACTAATAAGATTTTCATTAAAGCTTTAATTGTTGCTAGTAATAATTATGTCATGCACATAAACAATGAGGGATCACACTTGCTGCCTTTAAACCCAAATTGTAAAAAAGTGTGCTTCAGTCTATCAAACCAAGCCCGTGGTGCCCGTTTTAAACCATAGATGGATTTGTTGAGTTTGCAAACCAGCTTCTTAACATTGGATTCAAATCCTGCGGGTGGAGCCATATAAACATGTTCTTCAAGTAGCCCATTAAGAAAAGTGTTATTGATATCAAGCTGGTTAATCAACCAATTATTTGACACAACTAAGGTCAAGATAATGCGAGTAGTTATAGGTTTAATAACAAGAGAAAATGTTTCATTATAGTAAAAGCTAGGAGTTTGTTGAAATCCTTTAGCAACCAATCTAGCTTTATATTTATTAATAGATCCATTAGAGTTTTCTTTAACCTTGAAAACCCATTTGCATCCTATTAGATGGTGGTGGAACCAAGGGCCATGTGTTGTTCTTTAACAAAGCTTATTCGACTTTCATAGCATCAAACCATACAGGACTAGTTAAAGCTTGTTTAGTGGATGTTGGTTCAATGTGGGTCAAGAGAAGTGTGGGTTGAAGTTTGGAATAGGATATTCCAAACTTGGATCTGACTTGCATAGGGTGAGTATTTGGGGGGGGGGGGGGGGGGGGGGGGGGG